GGAATGACGGATTTCTGAAGAATGAACGTTTGCCAACATGAAATATATTGGGCCTTAGGGCTCCTAAAAATGAAAGAGACGCCGCGCGTTGCGGCCGCGCTAATCCCTCATTATGCACGCTTTTCTCGCAGCTGCAAAATACGCATAGAGTGCTGTGACCCTTTCCTTAAAGGATTGTCGACTCTCCACTTTACGTGCTTCCAGTTCGAATTTCAGATTCTCCACGCATTTGGGAAGACCATCTTGCCAAAGAAATCCGAAAAAACGAGATATTGATTGAAAACCAGGGACTTTTTGCGGAAATTTGTTGCATATGGAAATAGAAAAGGGCCGAATGAACTCTATTGAGAGCTTTCGATTTTTCCATCGACTGTTTCGGAAGATGCATGCGGCTTTTTGCAAAGAGTTCTCATCTGCATTGACTTCATGACAAAATAACGCATGCTCCTGGGGTATTTTTTACACAGATACGCGATTTTTCACAACAAGATATTAAGGCACGTCTTTTTACTAAAACCCGAAACCGAACTATGAGACAGGTTCATTCTTGCATTTTGGTGAACGAGCTACGCCTTAAATATCTGCCAAATGATTAAAACGATTTCCGAGGGAAAGTGAAGAAAAATCGTGAGAAATTGTGTATAACGGCTAGGATACCCGGACTATCACAGCGTCACATGAGAATATCGGATACACATCGTTCATTATTGACCTCCTCCTCTGCCCCCCTCCCCGTACCCATTTCCAATAAATGAAAAACAATTCAGTGCTGACGGTGCCTCTATCTGCTGTAATCATGTATAATGCTGTTTTACCGCAAAATTTCACCAGGAGGACCCGCAGTTTATCACATATGCTGTTTACATTTAACCTCCGCGATGGGAAACTCGAGGTCCGCAGTGCCTCCCTTTCCAATGAAATTTCTAGGCTTCAAATTATCAAACGATGGCGCTTCTTGCATTATTCTAAGGTAAAATTTTACGATCTAAAATATTTGTTCAGTAACTTTTCACTCTCAATTGAACGGTTCAAGAGGAAAAGCGGTCATTCTCATGAAATCCGCGATTGATGTTAACTATCAATTTTTTTATGATGCAATTTTCTGGGGTCCAATGTCACCGTATGATCCTCAGAACAAGGTTTTCCATAGTAAAATTTTATCCTCTAAAAATTTGGTCCAGTAACATTTGGCTCTAAAACCAATAGTTTTGGCGCAAGATAGGAATTTAGGAGGAAAAATGTGTAAATTTTGGGAATTTTTTCAGTTTTTCGGTCATTTTGGGGTGAAATTTTTGCGGCCTTTTGGCGACCTTTAGATATTTGGATTCTCCTGATTTTTCTGCGTTTTTTGATGTATAAAAACCTTTTCTTGCAATTTTGTCTAGGTTACCCCCTTTTTTTTCGAATCTCGCCCCGACTAGAAGGCAGATTCGTGGATGTGAAGCTGTCTTTTGACCCATGAGCCAGGTCAACAGTGGCGTGGTGTGTTTTGCGATATATCGATTGATCTGCCATTTAAATCTATGAAAAAGTATCGATAAACAGGGTGTTCGCAGCGAACACCTTAATAATCGATTATTTACCACAGCTTCAAATGGGGAAATATCGATAGATCGCAAAGCACGCCACGCCACTGCATGATGCGGTCCAAATTTCGGTCACCATTTATGCTGGCCTCTCCTGAATCCACGTGGTCTAAATCTAAACCCGTGCTGCTCTGATCAGCTGATTATCGACTGGTGGGGATGATCGTGAATGCCACTTGCTGTCCTTGTCCTCCACCCTCTGGTGATCACTTTCCACCGTTTTCTGGGAGTGAATCAGTTCCATTGAGGAAAAGTTTCAATACTCGTGTGGAGATGACAGCTGTCACGTCAGGTGTTTTGGAATAATTATAAGCCGGCTCGCAGAAATTGTTGCCTTTTCGTGGCAAATTCAATCATCTTTGAGGCGATTACATCGGAAAGTGAGGTAGGATACCTAATCGTAATCTCCCAAAGTTTCTCGATCCCTAGTAGCAGAACCATAGAAGGAAAAGATAAAGATTATGTACGAAAGTTAATTTTTTTTATATAACGCATGCATACGAAAGTGTTAAAAGTGAACATTTTTAAGTAACCATTATATGAAAAAGTCATAATTTTCGTGAGCTTTTCGCAAACATACTAAAAAGTCTTGTAATTCGCGAAAAGCTCACGAAAATTATGACCTTTTTTTTAATATAATGGTTACATAAAAATGTTCACTTTTAACTTTTTCGTATGCATACGTTATATAAAAAAATAAAAAAAATTGCCTATAAAAAAAATTACCTTACCTAGCTTTTATCATTTTTCATATATTATGGCCAGGTCTGAACTTTGATTTTTTTTACATTAGCGTTACACGTTTTTTATATAAAACTACCATTTAGATAACAGATATTTTTTGTATACTTTTTTTTTAAAAAAACAATTTTTTTTTCTGCTACTAGGGATGACGTCTACTTTATACTTTTAGATTGACGCACACTTATTTTATTCGTAAAACCCTGTAGTTTAGCAATATATTTGAGTTACATCCGATGGACATAGACTGGGAATTTATTGAAAATAAGGTTATTTAATAAAATTTACAGATTTCAAAATCTAAAAATGGTGACAGGGGGTGTTTAAATTGAAGTGACTTTAAATAAATAAAACGTATATTTTCTGAAACTTTGAAGTATGAATTGCTGGCCGCCACTCGGTTTTCATCCCAGGAGGGCGTACAATGTCCAGTGGCGTGGCGTGCTTTTCAATTTATCGATTGATCTGCCATTTAAACCTATGGAAAATGATCGATAAACAGGGTCGTTTGGATCGAACACCTGAACAATCGATTTTTTACCATAGCTTCAAATGGGGAAATATCGATAATCGATCATTCACGCCACGCCACTGACCATGTCGACGGTGAAACTACCAGAGCACGTATCTCGTTTATGGTGTTTAAAAATCTATCCTCCCATCTTATTTTTTTTTAAATAAAAAAACAAATATCATTCCTTAAAGTTTTCACAGAGTTTTCTTTGCAAAGAGAAGGAAACTCACGGAAGTTTTCAAGAATTGCCATCGAGTAGTTTCCTGTATAAAAATTAAGTATGACAGGCAGTCTGCAACATCGCAAACCGAGATACGTGGTCTGGTAGTTTCACCGTCGCACAGTGGATCGAGTCAGTTTGAGCGGCCGGACATGAAATTTTTGACTAAAACTGCTAATCTGGATGTTTATTTCGTCATATTTTAAATTTTAAGGGGTGCTCCTGAACGAGAATTTCACGAGGAAACCAATGGAACCAATTTTAGAACCTCAAAGTTTTGTATAAACGAAGTTATAAGCTTTTAACGTTTCCAAATTATGTCCGACCTCTCCTATTGACTTGATCCATGTGCGTCGACGTATCCTTAAAGGGCATCTCCTGGTTATATTTAAAAAAAAAAACAAAGAAAACAGGTTCATCCAGCGGTTATTACTTACCTGCCGATATCTGCAAAAATCATGAAATTTGGCCCAGTAAATCTCTGGAGCAATTTATGAATGGGGGAAACAATTAAATTTAGGGATTTCAGAGAGCTCTGAGTATTGAGATTTAAGGTTTCGGCCTGGCAACGCTAATACGCTAAGAAACAGTTTTCCAGTCCTTGTCATTTTTAAAAAAAAGGCGTGTCTTGAACCAAGTAGTATAAATCAACTTAAATCAAGAACTATGGATGGTTCAATTGGTTGAGCAGGCGATTGTAAACATCCTCTTCACAGATTTTCCTCCTGACCTTTGGAAGTTGCATTAATGCGTTTCCTACTGGGCTTTGGGAAATTTTTGTTTGTTTCTACCATGAACTCGAGAACTCGACCTATTCTGAGATGCGCGAACTGTACCAGAATACACTGTGTGTGCTTCTCAAGGCTCATGACCTTCCCCAGTATTTTTAATTTATTTCGTGATCCCGTTTAGTGGCTCCGGCGCGTAATTTCGCTGTTCGTATAAGCGTTGCTTCTCATTACCGTTGGTGGCATCCCAAAGGTAGTATCTGTGCCTCGCGACGGAGGAGCGAAGTCTCCCGAGAATTATCGACAAAGTTTTCGCAAACGTTCCCAAATACTATTTAAAAGGTGAGTGATTATCTTGTATTCGTGTATGTGTGAATATTATTCCTTTTAAAAAGTCCAGAGATTCGATCGCAGGAACGGGAAAATTCCCTCTAAAATCCCTATGATCTCACCATCATTTCCTCTTCATCTCTCTCGACGGTGAAACTACCAGACCACGTATCTCGGTCTGCGACGTTGCAGACTTAAGGGCATACTTTATTTTTTAAATGGAAAACTATTCAATGCCAATGCTCGAAACATTTGTGTTTTTTCTCCTCTGTGCGAAGAAAAATCTGTGAAAATTTCTATAAATCATATTGATTTGTCCTTTTCCAATTAATAAATAAAATGGGAGCAGAAATTTTTAAACACCGCAAACGAGATACGTGGTCTAGTAGTTTCACCGTTGATACTCAATACGGCGAGTCCGGAAAAAGGCCCCTCCTATTTTATTTTTTTAAAGGATAGTAAATCGAAATTATTCCTTGAAGTTTTCGCCAAATTTTTTTCGATCAGAGAAGAAAAATCACGGCAGTATCTCAGAATTTTTGTTGAATATTTTTCTATTTAAAAAATAAAATATGAAAGAAAGTCTGCAGTGTTGGAAACCGAGACACGTGGTCGCGACCTCACACCGTCGTTTTTCAAAACAACAACGTGCTGTCCTAATTCGTGGAAATGCTTAAAAAATAAGCGTATTTGCTGTTTGGAGGGTCATCACACTAATTAGGATGTACTAATCCTTCACGTGTGATTTCCTCGTAATTTGTTTCAAATTTTAATTCGCACCAATTTCATGAAATGGATGAAATGGTGTTATTTCACAACCTGCGGGCCGATTATTGAAAGTGATAGACAAATCTGTAGACAAAGAACACAAAAGGTATATGGAGCGATCCTATTGGTGGAAGCGGGTGGTTGCGATGGACAAAGGAGGTAGGTAATAGACTAGGTAACGGCAACCCACGGAAGACCCTACAGTTAGTCCATATTTTTCTCACTCAATCTATAGGAACCACCCGTTTCAACCAATAGGATCGTTACATACTGCCTATGTCTGCTTAGTCTATCACTTTATCTATCAATTTCAATAATCAGCTCGCTGGGCAACAAATCGAGAGATACGTGGTCTGGGAGTTTCGCCATCGATACGTTGCAGGGGCGGATCCAGCGATTCGGCAATACAGGATTTCCTCCATTTAAACCTATGTTAAATAATCGATTCTTGTCGGAGCGCCTGGCCCCTTCAAGAATCGATAAATTTCCACAGGTTTAAATGGAGAAAAAACAATGTTGCCAATTTGCTGGATCCTCCAATATATACTCTATTGCTTTCAGGGCTCATTAGTGAGAAAATGGCAGAAAATCGTCCGATTGACATCCTTGTGTTGGGAGCCACCGGATTCACCGGTCAGCGTGTTGTGGCGAAGCTCGTGGAAATCGCAAAGCAACATGGTCAAATCCGTTGGGGTGTCGCTGGACGAAACCTTGAGAAGCTCCGAGCAGTGCTGAAGGAAGCCGCTAAAAAAACCGGTGCGACAATGCATGCAATAAATCATCACTAGCGAATCATTACTCTCGACATGAAGAATGTAGACTAAAATTAGAATACAGTACTTAAAAACTCTAAATTATACCTCCGTCAATTTTGAATCAAGAAACTTCGGTGTCCGTCACATGCCAAATTTTATTATACCTATTATACCGCCGTGCTAAAAACACCGCACGAACATTCGAGAGTTGCCAAATTTCCTTCGATGAAATGTTTATTTTTGAAGAAAGTTATGAATATTTTCCCTTCAAATTTTCAGAATCTTTAGGTGAAATTGCGAACATAATTATCTGAAAAATTGGGAAGAAAATATTCATAAGTTTACCAGGAAATTAGCGTTTTATCGAAGGAAGCCTGGCAATGCCTGAAGTTTCATACGGCGTTTTTCCTTAGCAAGGCAGAATATGTGTTTTTTTTTTTTTTTGAATTTATGATGTAGATAAGATTAAAACACGATTCTGTGACCAGCACAAGTAACCTGTCGACTGGATACGTCTGTTTTAGACATCGCCCCCACTTTGGCCCAAGCATATCGATAGCTAAGTGCGACAGCACATATTTCCATTGCGGTGTTTCAAAATTTCCACCTCTGGTTTATTTTTTCGAGAAGGATTAAGTAAACTTCGCAGCTTGAAATTTATACAGAGTGTTTTACTAACAGAGAAGAAAAATCAAGGAAGTTTTTCAAGAATTTACGTTGATAAGTTTTCTGAGGAAAAGTAAAGAATGAATGAAAGTCTACAATGTCGCAAACGGGGATATATGGTCTCCAGTGGCGAGGCGAGAGAGATCGATTATCGATATGTTCCCATTTGAAACTATGGTAAAGAATCGATTATTAAGGCGTTCGTTCCGGACACTCTGTTTATCGATCCTTTTCTTCAGGTTTATATGGCAGATGAATCGATTTATCGCAAAGCACGCCACTGGTGGTCTCTCACCTCAGCCATCGATATGTGAATAGATAGTTTTAATCAAACGATGTTAGTTTATTTTAACACTTAAACACTGAAAAAAATCTTATGCCTAGTTACAAAGCCAATTGGCAAAAGAGCCCGAACTATTAACAGTAGCAAAACCACAATTTCCTATGGAAAAGTTACGGTGTGGTGTCATTAAAAATGTATGATTCCATAAAATCATGCAGGTATTCAGAAGAACCAAGAAACTATTTGTTGTTGATTTTGTTGCAGGTGAAAATCTAGAAAACATACCGATAGTGATTGCAGACGTTACAGATGAAAAAAGTTTGGCAGATATGGCCTCAAAAACAAAAGTTGTTATCAACGTATGTGGTCCTTACGCGTTTTATGGGGAGCCTGTGGTCAAGGCTTGCATAAATAGCGGCACGCATCATCTTGATGTCAGCGGGGAACCACTGGTAATTTTTTCTTGAAGAAAAATTCTTACTAAAGACTAAACAATACTTTTTTTCAAACGCGTTTTTTATTGGGAAATATTCCTGAGGCTCTCATGTGCGGAAATGAGAGGCTCGCAAGGGAAACAACGTTATTTAAACCACGTCATTTTTCATCAAGAGTGTTTTTTTTTTTTCTTTGATTTGCTGGCTTATCAGCTTCTATTCTAACATTAGGAACCTACAGTCATCTATAGAGTAGATTTATTGTGCGTAGACATCGGGGCGATAGGGACATCCATGCTCCCTTGTGCGGATTACTTTGAAAATTTTAAGGGATTTGCCTCGTGTTATGAAAATTCACGGAAATTTGCACAAAAGTCCGCGCTATCGTTTTTAAGAAAAAAATAAAATCGCTTAGTTGGCAATAGCTGATGTGGCTTCGTTTCTTTCTGCTTAAGCGGTTCAAATATGAATGAAAATTGCCCGTAAGGTGGAGCTTGGCTCACACCGCCAGACATTTTTTAAGTGAATATTGCATGAAGAGAAAAATGAGGGATAGCTTAAGCCAAGCGCTAATCATGAGAAATGTGCGGGAAAGTGCAATGATTAAAAATATAGTCAATTGGAAATAATTTAATTATTGCACCGAAGTAAAATATGAAAATTTTCTAATTTTCAGTACATGGAAAGTGTTCAGTTGAAATACCATGCTTCAGCTGACGAGAAAGGAGTTTACGTCATCACTGGTTGCGGTTTATCCGGCGTTCCCGCCGACGTAGGAACTATTTTCCTGCGAAAACAGTTCGATGGTAATCAATTTTCAATTATATCGATGAAAAACTGAGTTCAACGCAAGTTAAATAAGCAGCAAATACAATCTATTAATAAGCGCATAACTATTTCAACTCCCCGGAGATCAAATTGCATATCCAACGAATGGAAGGAACTTTGATTGAATCTGATAATTTGAAACTTGGCATTCCTGAAAATGTCACTGTGCAGGGGCTTTAAGTTGTCCTTTGTAAATCGATGGCTGAAGTGAAAAATGCATATCCCTATTACCTTGTTTGAAAATTCCCGATTAGATTTGTGTTTATTTGAAGAAGTCGCGCCAAATTATTCGCATGAAATTTTCTGTAAATGTTTGATCGAAAGGGGGGAAAATGAGAGAGAAAAACTGCAACCATAAATAACTGCGAATATTAACTGCATCAAAGAATAGTCTGTCATAGTCTTCCGAATTAGATTTTAATGTACGATTTATTTCAGGAGCTCTCAATTCAGTGGAAATTTTCTTGTCAGCTGAGGAGCAACCCTCCAGTGAGAAAAATAAAGTAAGTGTAATGTCGTATTTTATTGGTCCGTAAGAAATTTACATCTAGCTGCAATTGTTAGTTGTACTGGGATACAAACAATTAGAATCTTGTGTTGCATCCCAGAGTCTCCATTAAATTCACTTTATCGTAAAATGATAATGGAACAATCGGTAAAATAATTAATATACCTATAATGTAATGTACGTAAAATATTAATTTTCGGACGTGTCTCGCCGGCTCGCAAATTAATATTTTACGTGCAAAAGAGTTTTTTTTTTTTTTTTTTTTTTTTTTTTTTTTTTTTTTTNTTTTTTTTTTTTTTTTTTTTTTTTTTTTTTTTTTTTTTTTTTTTTAAACTGATCATTTGTCTTGTGCGGGTCTCCGAACGTATCATTGATAATTGAACAAGGCTAAGAAACAAAGAAAGTGCACTTAAATTTTAGCAATTTTATTCTCAGCCCCTTTACCTTTCTCATTCTATCTTATTCACCGCATCAGACGACGTTTAAAATAGCGTTCATACCATAATTAGTCCAAGGAAAAACCAAGAGACGGAAAAAATTAATATGCAGGGGACTTTCTCGCAGATTATTTAATCGATAAGGAAAAACATAATGGAAAGTTGCAATTACCCATCAAGTTGGCCCGCAAATAGAGTTTTATTGATAACTCATGTCAAACCCGATCTTTATTTACGTGAGATTATCATTTATTATTCTTGAATTTACGGAATCTGCAGTTCATCCTGTGATTTTTTCCTTTTGATGGGCGTAGCTCATTGGGTACATACTTTCATACTGTTGTGCTAAGCAAAGATCACGTATGTTGCCGTAACTGCGAATGGGGCTTTAAGCGGAGTAAAGAGGTTCTGATTTAGTAGGGCAGCATACTGGCTTACTTATTTTTAGAGCAAACGGGGGGAGGGGGCAGTGGCTTTGGCTTTCCCTGACTTAAGGAAATAGATTTAACTCCGAAGTGCGGTATAAACGTTAGACCCATCGCTGTTTCGCCTTCAATTTTCGAAATAAGCCAGGAAAATGATCATGACAAAAATACCCCTCTTGGAGTTAAGTTGATTCATTTCTTTTTCATCTTGGGCACTTTTATTTTTTGAAATTTAGAGCTCAGCAATTGGTCACTACGCTACATGGGAAAGTGCAGTGAACGGACTGCCATTAGCGAAGGAATTGAAAGCTGTCAGATCTAGATTATTCTCTAAAAAGATGCCAGTGCATAAGCCTCGGTTGGAGTCCAGGTAAAGTGTAAAAGATCCTTAAGCATGGAATTTAAAAACCCATAATATGATACTAAATTTTGTCCGATGAGAAGTTAAATTACTTCAAAGTATGCATGAACCGTGGTAAGGGCCTCTTCAGACTTGAACAAGTTACAATTAAATATTTTAATTACAAAATACAATTAAATATTTTAATTTTTAGATGCGCATCCATCTTCCTGACATTTCATGTATGGAAATAATTTGAAGTAATAAAAAAGAAAAGAAAAAAAGCGTAGTTTAGATCGTTGTGTTCAGAAGTTGCGATGTAAGACGCCAGACTCCGCGTGTGCATCAATTTTTTAACGGAAAACTAACCAGCAGTCACCATGGAAATTTTCATATGAATTTTCCTCACTCATTCTAAAGAAATCACAAAATATTTTTGTAAGTTTTCCTGGAGGATAATAAATAACACGATCAGTGATTTTTAAACGTTGCAATTGAGTTTTGCATTTTTCAAATTTACCTATTGATTTTTTATTTTAATCTTTGATCGAATTATCAGTGGACCTAGAATGTTGGTAAGAAAATGTACCGTAACTCATAGTTGGATCGAATTTATTCGTTATTTCCCGTTCCGAGAGAGGAGAACATTATGCAATAATAACGGCTTTAACTTGAAGTGATTTAGACATCTCATTGTAAGTGGGAAAAAAAATTCAATTATATCTCCCCTGTATCTCATTTAGTCCCAAACAACAAAAAAAAAAACTTCGGAAAAAATTCACTTTTTTTGCCATTGCAGCTGACCGATGCCGTATCAATGCAATGGCGAGGCGTGGAAGATCGATTATCGATATTTCCCCGTCTAAAGCTATGGTAAAGAATCGATTGTTAAGGTTTTCGTTACAAACATCCTTTTTATCGATCCTTTTCTATACGTTTAAATGGAAAATCAATCGATATATCGCAAAACACGCGTCTCTCTGTCTCTTTCCTTGTAATTTCTCCACTCTTGATAATTTGTCACTTCTAGCACTACTTACAAATATTTAATTAAATAACATGTCGCACTTAAATTTCGTCATGCATTTTCCCTATTTTTTGACACCTCTCACACTATTTAAGATCTTCATTTTCTCTTCCAAGACCATTGTCCCTTCTCAGTGTCTGATATAATTAATGACCAGCCTCTAACTCTTAAATGGACTAAGTTTTGCAATTAAAAACTACAATCTCTCGCTCCGTTCAGAAACAACGTATGTATAATTTCTTTCCCTTGGCACATACGTTTTTTGCGGATGAGCCAGAAATTGTAGTTTTTACTTACAGAGGGAAGTCCAAATGTTTTTTTTTTCTTTGCCGTCTTGTCATTCAAAATGTCTGAGGTTCTTATGACTTAACTTATGAGTTGGATAAAATTACACAAATCTTGGAATACATTTTCTTCACACTCCCCATCATCGAAGAGTACATCTGATTAATTTCATATTGCGAACAGGTATGAATAGGCAGGATAGCCGATAGCAGTGTAACGCTATTTCTGCATTTACGCAAGATAAGTACTGCTTCCTCAAAGAAATTTGGGAGTAAATTATAATTTTGTTTTTACATATCATTGTTTATAGAGAATGGCAAAATGAACAAACAAAGCTAGCTTCAAAAATATAGGAGAGATTGAACATGACATACTATGCCGCAAGATTTGCAGACCACACAAATCTTTGAATAGATCTCCACTTATTGATGCACGGTGTATGTTTTCTGGCCTAATTCAAAGAGTGAAGGCGAAATTGCAATGCGCCTAACATGCATACCATCTAGGTGTCGATTCTACTTCCTGTTGATTTTCTGTCCAAAACCACCAAAGATCAATAGATTTATGGTATATCGATGGTAAAACTCCCAAACCATGTATCTCAATTTATGACGTTGTAGACTTCTGCCGTGCTAAGGGAAAACGCCATATGAACCTTCAGAAGTTGCCAAATTTCCTTTGATAAAACACGAATTTCCTGGTAAACTCATGAACACTTTCCTTCCAATTTGTCAATGTGTTTGATAATTTTGTTTGCAATTTCACTTAAAAGTATACATTCCTAAAAAGTATACATTTAATGAAGTAGATTTCGCAACCCTCGAATGTTCATATGGCGTTCTTCTATAGCACGTCAGTCTTGTTATTCTTACTTTAATTTTTAAACGGATAATTACTCTGAATCAACTCATAAAAACTTCCGTGATATTCCTCTTCTGTGTGAAGCAAATTCTGAAATAACTCCAAGGAGTAATGTTGAAATAAAACAGGAAAACGGAGATTTTCCAACACCGAAAACGAGATACGTCGTTTGAGAGTTTCACCCTTCGATATTTATTTTATTCTACTTACCATGTTCCTTAACTTAGTCATGTCTAAATCTCACAGGTTTCCAATCCACAAAAATGCCTTGGTTGGAGGTAAATGGTGTTTACCGATGAAAGGAGCCGACAAGTCTATAGTTGTGCGCTCCCAGCGCTACCTTCACGAACTATACCGGGAAATACCTGCCCAAGCTGACGTCCACGTTGCGATTCGCGACTTTGTGTCCATGTCTATCCTGGTTTTCTTCGCACTCATATTTATGCTCTTGGCGAAATTTTCCATCGGCAGGAGTCTTTTACTCAAGGTTAGGTATACGATTTCTGCAACCAAATGCAGCTCACTCCACCCATAACTTACGCTATCTAATTGTACAAAGACGAGTAGACTTCTCGTCAGGGCCGGATTTAGGGATTGGGCACATGGGCCGCGGCCAATGGCGGGAAATTTAGGGGGCGGCAAATGTTGCAATTTTGTTCAAATGTAGGTGTCAAAAAAAAAATCGGATTTAGAAAAAAATTAGAAAAGGCGAAAAAATCTCTCATTTCCTGAGAGTTACGGTACAGTTATTTCTAATTTGTTCGTCTTTTGGTGATACATGAGACAGCGCCACTCATTAGTCTAGTTGAGAGAGAAACCAAGTAAGCAATTTGGCCTGGCGCGGCGCAGAGAGCAATGATGACGAGGACTTGAGATGAAAAGGAGCAGCCCCCGGCGCACCGGTCAGCATGAAACACTTATTAGCGCCTACAAGACTCCATGAATACTTCACGCATTGCATCAAACGTAGTGCGGTCAGCAGCGGTTGGCACGAAACTCATAGCGCCTACAAGACTGCATGAATACTTCACGCATTGCGTCAAAAACAGTGTGGTCGGCAGCGCAGCTGCAGCGGTCGGCGTGAAACGCATAGCGCCTACAAGACTGTAGGGATACTTCATGCATTGCGGCAAACACAGTGCGGTTGGCGCGGTGACGGAAATTAAAATTATTGAACCACATTCATGTTTATTCTTTCATAATTGTTTCGTTCATTTCCTATAATTGAAAGGCCTTGTCCACATAGAGACAGGTTTACGGAACTGAACTTTCGCGGAAAGTTCCGTGAAATGTTGCTAGTGTTGACAGGGCTTTCACAAAAAGTGTGCCCAACATGAGTAAACGAGTTTTATGCACCTCTCCTCCTCCGGCATTTTCACCTGATGGTTTGTATCGATGTTTCAAAACGAATGAGAAGGGGTCGGCAAAATACAGGCGGCCCATAGGCAGCAAGTATAGGTAAATCCGGCCCTGCTTCTCGCAGCTTATTTTTAGGGCATTAGAGAGAATTTTATTTTAAAGCATAGGCAGACAACAATGTTGCCATTGAGTGTACCTGCAACTAGTATGTAAGCTTGCAAACAGCTCTAGAAATTGGGAGGGAGATAAATAGTTGCGAATACTAAAACGGTGGGTAAACTGCTACAATGTATACCTCGGTGCGTGACGCTGCAAATTTCCATAATTGATTCTTGAAACGGAAAATAGTCAACTTCATTCTTTGATTATATTATCCGAGTGAAGAATAAAATTTGAAAATTTCAAGCAATAGTGCTTGTGTGTTCTCATTTGGTAAAAAAGAAGGGAGCGAAGATTTTGAATCAAAGCTAACGAGGATAACGAGATACCCGAGATATATTTTTGTAGTAAATGAATGCAATAATGAATGAAAATGATAATAATGATCATGGGAGAGTAAATTTTAGTGGTCAGTCAAATTCTCTATGAATAAACAGGGCGATGCAGATCAAGGTTGCCACCCTATGTTTGAACTTCATACGTAGGAAATGCTTTTTTAGCAGGTAATCAGCACAATATTTCATAGAATAGTCAGTTCGGTTAAAGTGAGATAAAACTATCGGTGACTAGGTGAAAAATGCGTTTATTCTATTGCAACATTGCAAATCTCCGATAAGGTTTATTTTCTCCAAAAAATAACGAATAGTTTTTCTTAAATTTTGTAGTAAATTTTCTTCAAACATTCAAAAATATTCACAAAAGTGTTTGGGGGAGATAAGTATTAAAAATTTAAACTTGATTGAGAAACTTTCTTTCTGACTTTAGTAATCGATCAAAAAATCTTCCTGCAATATGCATCATCCCAGCGGGCATGGTAGAAATTTTACATTGAAAAATTGTGTTTTTAGCGTATTTTTTTTTTCTTGCAGTATCCTAAGATATTTTCGAGGGGTTGCTTCAGTCATGAAGGACCAACTGAGGAAGCCCAGAAGAATAGTGTGGTCTCATTTACTTTTTTCGGCAGGGGTTGGTCACAAAAAACTGGACCTGCCGCCACCCTTCCGGACAAGACTGTCACCACAAGGGTAAGAAAAATCGGTCTACGAAATATTAGTGGTCAGATATTACACAGAAACAGTATGGGAGTCGGATTATTTTGACGTATTTTTTTATGAGAAAGAAGACTATGTGAAAATGTATTAAATAAGAAAGAACTATGCTGCACACAGATCCTATGCCCCTTTTGTTTCCTTTTGTCCTAATACATTTTCACATTGTTATTTACAGTATACGCCCTATTTTTGCTCTGTTAGGCCTCCGAAAAAATTGATTTTTTTGTTTAAATAAATTATATATCCACGCTGCTGAGTTGTTTGGATAATTTTTTCATCAAATGAGGCAGAAATTCGCTTCCCGATCGTTAAGAGACTCTCATGGCGCAGAGAATTAGGAAGATACATTGCTATGATAATGGAAACAATAAGTTGCGACCAAAAATGCGTCCAAGGTTGCCTCCTTGATAGATCGTGACTAAGTATAATTTTACCAAGAGGTGTGCTTTTTTTTCTTTTCTTAAAAGAAGAAATAATTACTGTACTTGATTGGGTTGTTTTCCTCTTTCATAAGATTTTTAGTTTCGCACTTTTGGAGCATGATGACTTTCGTCATTTTGTGTATTTTTACTGTGGTAAAATAGTTTCGATTATTTTGATCTAATTTATGCTGACAAAGTCTCCGTTTCTTTGCAGTTGGTTCTCAGAAGTCCCGGTTATGGATTCACGGCCACATCAATTATTTTATGCGCAATGACTATCTTGGAGGAGTCAGAAAACATGCCCTTAAGGTAAGATGTATAGATGTAAGATGTATAAGTAGATTGTCTTGAAATATTGTCCTTGTTCCTGGGCTGCGGTGCAGTTCGTGTTTCGCCACCTACGATTAGGAGTCACTGTCCCAAAACTTTGTCACTGATGATGTCCAAATCGACAGTTGAAGGGCTTGAAGAACAAGGCGCATAGGTGCAGGTTTTCCATTTTCGAGAAAAACGTGTTAGAGGTTTCGAAATTACATGAATCTGTATGTCGGAGAGAAAGTTCATACTGACTTTTTAATGCTTAAAAATTGGAATTTCGGAGTGAATTTTTCACAGATTATGCATTTAGATTAGTTTTACTGGAAATCATTAATATCGCAACTTTTTAAAAACTGCATCAATGCGTCTTGTCCTTCAAGCCTCTCAATTCCTATGTGAGGCAAATCGTTGGATTTAGGTTACTCCAAAGAGCTCTGTTCGTAAAAGTATGACCGAGAACTTTTTTCCCGCCCTCCCCTCCACAAAAAAGGTTCTCTTTCTGAGTCGTTTGAACTTTAATTACTCGCAAGAATTCAACATCTCTCTGGATTGCAAGCTTCCATGATATAAAGTTCAGAAACGAGCAAATAGTATGTTAACTTTTTTATTACTTTCAATGCGAAACTAAGTCTAAGCTATGAAATGCGGGGTTGACGTTCAGTGTTTGTCTGATTCGAAAATTCTTAGATTGCTGAGATATTTTCGGGGCCTTTCCTCTCTGATATCCCCCCCCCC